GAAAAAGAGAAGGGGAAACCCTTTTTTTTTTTTCCCCCCCCCCCTTTTTTTTTTTTTTTGGTTTCTTTTGGCATTATTTCCTGCAGGACAGGCCACAGAGTAGGATTTTACTCAATAGGGACAGAATAATATCCACCCCTTGTTATTGCCCCTCACTGTCTGTGGGCAGCACGGATGAACCGAGTCTTTAAATGGGATGTGAATAGATAGAACAATATGCCACATATAAATGAGAGGGACCGCATACATATGGTTTCTCTGAAATTGTCACTGAGATGAGATTTTTCTGGGTAGGTAAGGATATATGATTACAGATAAAGGCAGAAATAGAATTAGGCAGGACCTCGAAGACTGCAAGCAAACTAATGGAAGACTTTTCTGATTAAACTGTCTTTCAGCCCAGTTTATCTGGTTTCTACGGCAAGTTATACTATGAATCTCTCATTTTTCATCAAAACATGATTGGGGGGGTGTCATTATTTGACTCACTTGGGTGTTGACAATATTGTCTACCGGAAAATGAAATTATCTAGATTCAAATGATGGAATGAAATTCAAAGTGCAGGGACTCTGATTCGGCTTGCTTTTTGATAATGACAGCAGGCAGAGAAAGTTTTTTATCAGGATTGTTACACAGTCACCAGAAATTATTTGCTTTAACCTCAAAATGTTTTGTAGCTCGAAATTTTATTTTCAGCCGGACTTTTGTAATTCTATAACTTCATTATAGTTGCTTTCGTAAAATAAAAAACATTTATTAAATGAGCTAGACATTGACCTAGTCTCATTTTATGTAAAAATTTACATAGAAAATAGTGATTTGAGATGGTAATCACTTCTCCCTCCTATATCCATTCTGTTGGGTCAATTAATGTGGTCATTGGAGACTGCTTGCCCTTTAAGCCAACTCTGAGAAAGGCCAGAGCAAAACCACGCTGCAGTAAAAGACATTCTGCAAGGATGCTGGGTGCTTGGGTCATGTGTTAGAGCTCCAAAACCTTTCTTAATGTACTGCAGATGTTGCTAAGCTTTCACTCTTTTTAGCTATGTTTTCATTTACTATTTAGGTGGTCACTGTGTTACAGTGTTGCCAAGAGAGCTTTACAATCAGCTTAAAATGGGAATTAATTGTATTAATTCATACAGAAGTAACCGAAAAGGTCAAAATATTAATTGCAGGCCTTCTGGCCTGAAATCGGTAGCTAAACCAACAGACAAGGCACAGTTCATCCACCTTAGCAAACAGTTTTATTTGCACGCTGAAATTGTCACTACTGGTTAACCCGCTGAGATTTTTTGCTGGAAGAAAACAATTGATACAACTGGGGTCTCCAGAGTCACTCTCGAAACAGATGTTCCAGGGAGCCTGAAAAATAGTAGCTTCAAGTAAAGGCTCACAAACGCTTCACTTGCCTTGTCCCCAAGCCTTTTCAGTCTGAGAAGACTATCTGCTTACTATGGCATTTCTACTTGTATTAATATTTTTTTAATTCAGCTCTCAGCCTTCATTACAGTGTTGTGCTTAGGAGGAGTAGGGGACTGAATACTTGTGCGCTTGAAAGGCTGAAAACACTGGGTCAAAGATTTTACCAAACACTGCTCTTGCTCTCACTGTTAGATCTAAGTGTGACTGGATTTTTCCTGAAACTGCAAACACAGCCAAAATATTCTTAAACTTGAGTTAAATGGAACCTTTCGCTTATTTGACATGCCAGGGCGCTGCTGATGTTCAAACTAATATCGCTGTTCTTTTGTACTGCCAAGCCAGTCCCCAGAGGTTATGGCTACTATTGCCTAAATCAGGCTCGTTTGAGAGGAACTAATTCAAACATAGATAACCTGAGCAAACACTGAAGGGAGCACTAGAAAACTAACATCCCGAAAAAGAAGCTGCTGGGAGTTTATTGCCCCTAATCCTGCTAATAAGGGAGACTACTGGGCTCATTCTTGTGAATATTTAATTTTTCTTACACAGGAGAGGAGCGGAGAGGGGGAGAGAAGAGACCCAGAAGAACGTCCTAGTGAACAACGTGATCCTCCGAAGCATTTGACTATTAGTATTAATGGGGATATCCTTCGGAGAATGACACAGATGTAAGACTCTGCCTTCAACTTTATCCAGTTAAAAGTAGTAACTTTTTACCTACAACCCAGCTCTGTTTTTGTGTAAATAGCTGTACAAAATGCAAAGCAGGAAGAAATCAAGTCCTCATATTGTAAATAGAAACAAAGTACCCTTCAAGCCAACAACAAATGAGGACTTGATCTTACATATTGTTTGCCTGTTCAATAAGAAATTCAGGATATAATCTGTATTAATAAAGAAATTAGCTACAGTCCAAATCTGTATATGTTATTCAGATATGAAAGAGATATTGTGTATATCATGCACATACGCTATAAATATATTCTACAAACTATTTGCAGGCTGGCCCTCAATCTTCTGCCATATATGAAAGTTAGATCAGTGTTAACTCAATGGCTAAAACTGTGTTGGAAGAGAAAATATCAGGTTTTCTAACAACATTTATCTGCCTTGGCGATGTAAGTTCACCACAGTACTAGAGCTGAAAGAAATACCAATACAAGAGTGTTTTATGTCAAATCTCGAACCACTAATACAAAAGAGTGTAATTTATCAGATCCAAAGGAAAACACTATCTGACAGTGTCCAAAGTACTACTATTCATTACATATCTAAAGGCTACTGATCAATAGACAGCACTATGCTCTTTCGTTCAATAGGTTCAAGCTTAACTGATTTTCATGGCTTCTTGAATGCTTTTATGACTAACAAGGCATGATCCACATAGTGCTTTGTCACCGATTTGCACATAATCTAATAAAGTGACAGTAATAAATCACAAGTATCATTAATAAATCGCCAACAGACAAAGCCGCACACTGGAAGCAATGTGGAAAACGCACAGATATTCCCCCAACTACTTTGGTGAGTAAACAGGCTAAACACACAGTATTAAGAGCTGCAAGTTCAATTCATAGTGAATACATACATCTAGGCTTTTAGAGATTTTCTATTGTAGTTGGCAAACACTCTTCCATGTTTCTTCAGGGCAGGTTCATAGAGCAAAAGAAAAAGAGAAAAGGAAAAAAGAAAAGAGCTGAGAGAAAACAAAACTCAAATTGAGCAAACAAATGCTTGGAACGCAAGAATATAACCCAGTTTGATGACGCTTATAATGCTGTTAAAATCACATTTTATGCCTATTTACTTTATCATTTTGTACCTCATAAATACCTACAGTAGCTAAAACTGTCAGTGGTGCCACTTCAAAGAGCAGTGCCCCTAGGAACAAGATCTTTGAGGTTTAGTCTGGCCACAGTGTGGTTAAGGTTATCACAATGCCTCTTTAAATCTAGAATCTAGTTGGCATAAATCCATGAAAAGCACACATACCTTCAAATGCGAAATTCAGGATTCATTTACTTACCCTTCAGGTTTAGATTTAATGAAAGCTGGGCATTTAACGTGGTAACAAGCTTCCACAGACTTCACAGAAAAATCCAGCTCCAAGATACATACAGCAGAAGCAAAGCAGTCATTTTGACTCCATCATCACTACAAAAAATGCATACGCTTAACAAGTATTTACTTGAGGTAACAGAAACACAAATTTGTAGCTGTCACACAAGTTAGCTGGTTGAGGTTAACGTTAGACCTCTGTAGCACTTTCTTCTATAGTGAACAGAAAGCCAAATTACTTAGTTTTGGACCGTTTTGAATTAAAAGCCAAAAGTTTTAAGTTGTTTCTTTCGCTTTTAGTTCCTAAATTTAACATAGAAGTAGTAAAATCATAAGCGGAAGTCAGCTTCCCTGGAATTTTTGCCCTGACCAAAAATTTTTGTAAACACCACAAGAAAGCTTTTTCCTACGATATTTTCTATTCAATATTTTAAGGCTTTACTTGTTCTGATAAAAGGATCATCTGAATTCTTGAACATGAACGTGAATCAAATTCCAATTAAAATCTTTAGGTGCTTTTCAACCACTTCTCTGGTGACCCTTGAGCAAATACACGTTTGTGTCAGTGGCTTGAGGCAAAATACATAATTAGAGCCAAAATT